CGCTCCATCTCTCTCGCTCTCGCTTCGCTCGCTCGCTCGCTCGCCGAGAGCCAGCGCGAAGCGGGTTCATTGTCCCGCGTGCGCCCCGTGGTGGAGCGCCGTTTCCTCCCTCGGGCCGCCGCGATGTCGGCCCCATCAGCGGCGGCACAGCGCGTTTTCTCTCTTTCCATCGCGCTCGCCCCTCCGCCCTGTCTCGCTCGCTCGCTCGCTCGTCCGTTCGCTCCGCTCTTTTTCTTTCTCGCGCACACGCACACAAGCGGGGCACATGCACATCTCGGGGAGAGAGATGACAGCGTCGTTGTGCGTCGCCGTCGCGCTAAAGTACATTTAGCCGCTACTTACCAATTGTCCAGCTTGATCAGCTCCTCGGGCTTTTTCGACTTGTGATCGGCCTTGAGTCGCAGCGCCTGCGGATAGAGTTTGAGAACGTGATCGAATTGCGTCGCGGTGCCCTCCGCGAAGAAAGTCGCTGTGTCTTTCACGGAAGCCATTGCGATAACGCGGGCTTCGATCGACGGCCGTCGGGGCGCAGCACCAGCGCCGCCTACTGCCGCTGTTCCGTAAATTGCGTCCGCCGTTCCCGTTGCTGCCGCCGTCGCCGCCGCTGGCTGTTACCCACCGCCGCCGCCGCCGCTGCCACGGGCGGCGTTGCCGTGTCTCGGCCCGCTCTTTGCCGAGGAATCCTACTTCACCCTCGCGAATTCCCTCACCAGTGCGGCGCGAGTAAGCGCGACGCGTGGGAAATCGATGACGGTGGTGGGAGAGCCGTGTATAACGAGAGCGACGTTAGGAGGCTCTTCTCTCTTTCTCTCTCACTCTCGGCTCTCTCTCTCTCTCTCTCTCTCTCTCTCTCGCCAACGGAAAGACCCGAGGGGATCCGTGCGCGTGACGCGGAGTCAACGAAAATAGGAACGAAAATATAAAAACGGGCACACTGTACGATTCTCGTCCTTTCTGTTTCTTTCTCTCGCGGGGCTGCCGACTGCTCCCTTTTCTCTCTCTCTCTCTCTTTTTTTCCGCGTCTCCGCCCGACGCGCGCCCGTCCGGGACAGAGTACGACAAAACGTGCCTCGCGGACGTGCGATAAAACGGAACCTTCCCGGCGCTGCGCGACTCGAGAGAAAATCACACTGCCGTAGGAACTCGCCGTCGGACCTCGCTCGACAACTGGCCCGGGTGGGGAGCCGACGCGACGTTGCCAATAGGCGGCAGCACCGCTCGGGTTGCGCCTCTATCCCCCCCACTCCCGACTGCGCCTCGTTCCCCCACCAGAGCGCTGCTGTCTATATATATATCTCTCTCTCTCTCGCACTCACCGCGGGGAATACGAATCCGTCGCGCTCCCTCCGCCGAGTCGCCGTGCCGCGCCTCTCACCGCGTCGCCCTCTCGCTCCGTCCCGCTCCCACCAGGCCCGTATCTCTCCCACTCGATCGCCGCTTCTTCCGTCTCCCTTCCCACGCCGCCGCGGTGTCCTTGTCTATCGCCTTTGATCGCGCCTATATATCTCTTACGCGTCTACCTCTCTTTTTTTCCTCTCCTCTCCCCTCGCTCCGTCTCTCTCGCTCCCGCCGGCCTCCCTTGCCGTCCCGCTCGCGCGCACGGACCGCGAAATTCGGTCGAACACACGCGGCGACGTGCCTTCGACACCTTGTGCAGTGTGCGTCGGAGGGGAGCGCGAGGAGATTCCGTGCGGAGAGGCTCCTTTCTCCGGCGGAACGGCGGCGCGCCTCTCCTCTCTTTCTTCTTTCCGCACGCAGGAACGCAAGCTACTCGCTCCCTGTCCCTCCGCTCGACAACGAGCGTATCTCAACGTGACTTCTCCGGGCCGTTTCGAGCGCGCGCCAATCTCTCGCGGGATCGCGAATTCTCAGCGCGATTCCGTGCCCACTGGTAACTCACGCACGCACGCACGCGTGAGAGCAGCGACGTCGAGTCGCGCGCGTTCCTCTCCGCGCACGACGGTATATCCGTCCGCTGCTCCGTTATATTGCAAAGCCTCGCTCGCTCGATTTTCCACCGACGTCGCCCGACAGGCGTGTTTCCACGTAAGCGACTGAGGTTACGTTGCGCGACGGCCGCCTCATCGACGACGGAGCCACGGAAAGCCGGCGATTGGTCGAGCGCGGTCTCTCTTTCTCGGCCCGTCTTTCTCTCTCTCCCCCTCTCTCCTCGCGCTCTCTCCCTCTCCGTCCCGCTCGCTCGCTCGCTCGCTCGCTCGCTCGCCTCTATCGCATCCGCCGGCCCCGACACGTCGATATCCCCTTTTTCCTCACGCGGGAATATCGCGATCCGGAGTCGGCGTGATCGCAGATGCCTTCGCGAACGCGCCCCTGCATCGAAAGCTCGCGCGCATCGGCGGCCTCGCTCTCGGCCGGACGCGTGCGTGCGTGCGTGCGTGCATGCGTGCGTGCGCTGCGCACGTCAGCAGAACGAGCGCGCCCCTGCTCCTCTTGCCACGGGAAACGGGAACGCGGAGGAAGCGCACGTAGCCAGCCAATCGTTCGCTCTGCCGTGCGCGCGCGTGTGAGTGGCCGGTGGCGCCGACCAGCCGGCAGAGGGCAGCGCCTTCGCTCGCCGCCGCCGCCACCGCGATTGGCACCCCGCCAGACCTTCTCCCGTCCCCGATGACCGCTCCTGACAAGCGAGCGAGCGAGCGAGCGAGAGGACGGGCGAGCGCTCTTCCCCTCGTCGGCCGCCGCGCGTCCGGACACCGCATCCACCGTCAGCTGCGCACTGCGTCCCCCTCCATGGCGCCGCGCTGGAGGATCAGCGGAGACGCGGTCGTTCAGGGATGGATAAAATAACTTGGAGCTGCTCGTCGCTGGCTCGGGGATGCAGAGGCCGAAACTGAAATTTCCACGGGATGCCGCCTACCGCCGTCCCCTCCCCCTCTGCCAGTTACCCGACGATGTAGATTCACAAAATCGGCGCGACATTGATGACGTAATTAGCTCGGTCGTTATCGCATCGCCCGATAAGCTCCGAGGCTGCTTGGCATTGTTGTGTAAGGTCGTAAACAAGCAATCGCTCGGGGTAGTAAACCCGGGATGGGGGGGGGGGAGGGGAAGACGCTCGGTTTTATTTTTAAAGTTTTTACACCCACGTTGCGCGCGCAAAGTTTTCGGGTGCAAACGCGTGGGATAAATTTCGCTGCAGGCCCGCTCGTTCTCTCGCTGCCAGCCGTTTTTCTCGTCGCTTTTACCTCTTTCTCGCGCGCAGCTGAAAAATCGGATGAACAAAGCCGTCGGAGGCTCGAAGAAAATTTGACGGGATCGCTACGATGGATATTCGAGCTAAAGTTATGTTATACAGCGCCTCCGCAGGGACGCATGTACGCGCTTCGTAAACCCCGACGCGACGTGACGCCCGACCGTTTCTGGCGGTCGCCACGGGCCGATTCTCGAAAGGGTGAAATCTCACGCAGCTGCATTCGGGCGATACGTTCGGCGTCGCGCACTCGCTAAATTTTATTGGCGCGCGCGAGATAAAGGAGCGACGTCGGGCGCGGCCGAGCTCTTTTGGAGCATCCGGTAGAACGTGTCGGGCGGCAATTTATCAGAGCCAAGGCGCACCGAGTGTTGTTTAAACTCCAAAATCAGGTGGCGGCGCGATACGCGGGGAGGAAATAGAAGCGCGCCGGCAACTTTGAAAATAATTTTCATTCCTCCGCGGCGGAGCCGCGAAAGGTCAAAGATACAGCGCGTAATCTCCAAAGGTCAAAGATACAGCAAATGCAATTTTTAATAGACAGCTCGCGGAATTTAAATAGAAAATAATTTCTCTCCGCGTCGAAATGGAAAATTCCCCGCAACATGTTCCAAGAAAATTCCTACGACGTCATTCCGAGTAATCTTGAAAAGTTATTGAGGAGAAAGATCGTGTGTGACGCGCGGTAGTTTACTTAAAATTCTCGTGTGTCGAACTAATTATGCGAAAGCACTCGGCGAAGTTTCGAGTTTAAATGAACGGTTTGAAGAAAAAAATTTGTTTTCTTAGGTTCGAACGATCTTTCTCGAAAATGTTGCGACCAAGTAGATTGTCGAGGCACTTTTTTCCCCGCAGAATATATGGCCGGACTCGCCGCGCTCTTCGGTGGGTCCCACAGAGGGACCCACTTTCGGAGTAATATAGATAAAGTGTTACGGCAAGAAAAGGGCGATAAAGGTGAAGGGAACGTCGAGCTTTTTCCCCAGGAGCGTCCTCTCACGTTTCGACGCCCCGCTTTCCACGCAGCTCCTCATTCCGAAATAACTCCGGCGTTGGAGCGTTCCTAAATTTAAGCGACTCGGGCCCGTGCCGGGGGATTCGATCGTGTCCTTAAAACTACAATAATGCTTCTTCCTTTCTGCCCGCCAGACGGAGCCCCGTCAAGCCGAGTGGAACGGAGCGGAGCGGAGCGAAGAGAAGCGATTGTGTGCAATACAGGCGCAGGCACGCAGGCCAGACAGATAGGCAAGCAGGCAGGCAGGCCAGCCAGGTAGGTAGGCAGGCAGGCAGGCAGGCAGGCAGGCAGGCAGGCAGGCTGGCAGGCTGGCAGGCAGGTAAACGGACATGCCGGGTATAAGCCCCAGCAACATGGCCGTCGACTCACCGTTATGCGCCTCGTGCCCCCTATACAAAAGAGAAAGGGCCGCGCCGCGCCGGTCGGTCCGCCCCCTCTGTCCCTCGGGCGCTTGAAATTCAATTCCGGCACTGCCGCGCGGCGCGGTTGCCAGATCGTCCGCCCGTCCGCTCGCTCGCTCTCTCCTTCTCTCGCCACCGTCCGTTATCGAACGTTCGATTTACACCGCGCGCGCGGCGCGCAGGGAGATTTTCGTCGAGGCGATATCACCGCGTAGCGGCGACTTCGCGGGGAAAATTGCGGCGTGACGCAGAGCCGGAGAAAATGTAACTAGCCGATGCTCGGCGATGTAACGATGATACAACGCGGTAACCGAGCGAAATGAAAATGTGGCCGCGACGTAGCGAGGGGAGGAGGTAAAAAAAAAATTAACAATGGATTACTCTCGCGCGCGACGAGCGCTATATCTGGATCATTCGCGTTCGATTTCCCTCGTCTCTCCGTGTCGCGACGACGCGTGTCGCGCGGGCGGTTATTTTGCCACATCGACGAAAAAAGCCGTCGCGAGTCGATAGGACACACCGATGTGTACATACACGCGGATATATACATGCAAGCTCGCGTTTTACCGCGACAGTTTTTTTTTTTTTCAAACTGCTCGCGCGCACGGAATTTGAGGCGCGTCCGAACGAACGCGGCTGTCGAGAGATCGGCAGTCGTATTCTTAATCCGGAGAGCGTATCCGACTAGATCTACACGTGTACTCCAATCACTGGCGATCGTTATCGCGCGGCCGCTGTGTCTTCCAACCATGAACCAGAGAATTCGTTCACGTCCGTGTCGTCCTGAGCACGAGGGCCATTTGAAAGGTTCTCGAGGCGAAGTCGAACGGCGCTCTCGCACACCGGACGTCGTACGTTCACTGAAAGGCTCCAACTTCCAAGAGTCCTTCCACGAGCACGTGTAGAGCTCGATCTGTCAAACAGTTCATTCTTCGCAGATCTTTAAGCGAGGCGTGATTCTCGAAGAACGAACAAACTCGACGCGCGTGTGGTATCCGAGTACTTCAAGGGTGCGTTCCGTTTCGCGCACGATACGCACGACGCATCATTTATCTTTGTTATTCACCGAATGTTAAAGGATTTTCCGCAGAAGATATCTTGGGACGTAAACCTGAATCTAAACGCGCGTTCCTAAACTCATTGAAAAAAGTGTCGCGACCATTCTGTCCGTCACTGTACACTGATAGAAAAATATGTAACATTTGAAACTATAATTGCACAGTAAAATAATTGTAGTATAAGACTATCTTATCTTTTCTTTGAAAGAAGCTCTCTTGTACTATTCTTTGTGAGTGCAAAGTGATGTAATCAATGAACATAGTGAACGCAATGTATATACAGGGTGGGCCATTTTAATCCGTACACGGTAATATCTCCTCGGGTAGGGGTGACAGCGGAAAATGCCTCGGACAAAAGTTGTTGGGTTTCGAGGGGGACATAAGATGGTGTCATTAATTTAACCTTGAATAGTTACTTGAAGGTCACGTGAAGGTCACCTTCAATTTTTTAAATGGAACCCCCTATGGTTTATTATACTATCTTATTCTATGTTTTACTATGAACAACTTTTGTCCGAAACATTTTTTGATTTGCCTATAATACTTTACGAGATATTCAAGAGAAAATTTATAACTTTTTCAATGTTTAACTTATGATACCTCGATAACTGTTTGTTGGAAGGAAAAGTAATACAGGACATTTTGACTTGATTTGGTCTCAGGAATATGCTGTTACAATAATTGGACCAAATTAAAAGCTCGTTTTGGTTTATGACAACTATATCATAAGTTGCATGCACTAATACTGTGTCTATGAAAACTATAATACATTTTTACATCAACCATAACTTGGAAGAATTATAAAAATGTGGTTGGTTCCTAAAATAACTATACATTATAGTGAGATTGTGGTAACTGCAACCATTTTTTTTCTGTCAGTGTACCTATTTTGCCACAATTAATCGCAGATACGTTCATTCGAGGAACTATAGAAAATTAATTATCTGATGGAACTTTACATGTACGTAGAAGGGAAACTTTTCGTTAAATTAAACGTATAACGTGTGTCGCGCGAGTGCCATTCGTACAGCATTCCGAGGACTTTTCAAATGGCCCCCGCACAAAGCTGAATGCCAATGTCAGCTGTTGCCTGTCTATTGAGTGCAATCAGGTTGCGTCCGCTCGTGCAGGAGGTCGAGGCGAAAATTACTTTTCCCTTTAAAGTTTTTCACGCGTGTACAAACATTACCGCAAAGAAACATATATGCGAGAGCTTCTGCGATATCGCGCAAGGTGAAAACTTCCGGAGAGCGTTTCTTTTTTCTTTCGCGAGTAAAAAAAATCAACGAGTGCCGGCAAGGTGTGTTGTCAGCAGAGAGAATTGCGCAAAACCGTGCCGATCTCTCGCAACAATTCCGACGTTCCGAAGACCCTTCGTTTCGCGAACGTAGACGCGAATACCGAGGATCGAAGTGCAAGCAGAAAAAGAACAGGCAAATAAATAATACTGCAAGCGAGTCGAGCGGAGCGTCATATATTTGCGAGATACAAAAAGCCAGAAAACACGACGCGGTTGGGGGACTTTGAAAAAGCGCGGCTCCTCGGAGGCGAACACGCCGGCATTTCGCGCCGATCGCGCGATGCAATTAATACGGACGCAAATATCGATTGTTACAGGTGTTACCTGTACGCGGAATTTAT